TCTGGTTCTTAAAAATCAGTCGTTGAAAATCCTCAGGAGCACAGGTTCATTTGGACACAGAAGCGGTTGCCACTCGTCAGAATCAACTTGATGGCAACTGGTCTCACATAATTAAATTTTCTTTTTTCTTTTTCCCTTTCCTCTTCCTTCCCACCCTCCCCGAAGAACCCTTTTCATTCCTTCCTTATCTCTTTTCTGTTTCTCATTTTATCTCCTTTCATTCCTTCTCTGTTTTCCTCCCCACCCATCCTCTTTGGAGTAACAGGGGAATCTAGCTTCGCTCCAGGTACAAAATCTGCTCTCGGTCACATGCTTCTCATCACAAAATGTAACTAGTCAGGAGACATGCCGAGAACTATTTAAAATAACAATATAAGGTACTATATTAAATTTTAATCCATTTGACTTTTTATGGCAAATTCCAACTAACTTTCCACTTCATATATAGCTCTCACCAAACCTTGGAAACTGAATGTCTAATTGAATTCAGCTTACTGAGTGCTAGCGAGGGATCATGTATTAGGTCTGCGGAACAAGTCTAAACAAGAAGAACTTTTCTCTACTCACCATATTACGTGAGCCAAGATGCTTCATTACCTATGTACTCTGCTTACACTTGTAAAAAATATATTGCCTAACCAGTTCAACTAGGCTGGCCTCCAGGAAGTGACCTCCCCCTCCCCTCAGCTCCTTTTAAACTATAGATTCTTGACTGAATTTTAAAGCAAGAAAAATTCCTTGCCAATAGACTTTATGACTGTGTTGCTAGCCAATAAACCAAGTCACTGAACAAGACTTGTTGTGCACTCTGGAAGAGCACCGGGAAGACCGGCCATCACACAGTCATTGTTTTATACTCAACATTTCAATTTGTGACAGTGGAAAAATTTCTTCTTTGCTGTAGGAGCATTATTACATTTTATTTAATTTCTCTGTGGGATGCCTGAGAAAAATACAAGCTCAAACTAAAGAACATTTAAAATAAGCACTTTGAATAAATAGAACATCTCTTTATGAGATCGTATATTTCACATTTCAGAAAATAGCTAGGTGCAAAATGCTGGCTGGGCAGCTCTATCATTGAAATTTTGGTATAGGAATGAAGAAAATCATAGAGGCACAGTAGAAGGGAAAAAAATAAAACCAAACTTTTTCTTTTTCAAATAAGAAATCCTACCAGAGGGAAAAATCCCAAGCTCCTGATGGTAGGGAGATCTCAGCCCTGTGGTTTGGCTGATCAGAGATGTGACAAGTAGTGATAGTGAAACAAGATTTATTAAAAAATTAGGGATAATGAGTAAGCATTGACTATAATTTAAGTCCTAAATCTAAGCCTTAGACCAAGAATGTTTACTTTTCTGAGCTATGGTATAAGAAATTCTGGACAAAGAAAATACTATGGGATAAGGACACTATTAATTTCCTCATTGAACACATATCAGATTTCCACTTACTTTGTACCTGTTTCAGTTAGTAAATTAAAAGCAAATGTTTCTTTTTCGATTTCCTGAATGCCGCTTCCATGAGCACTGATTTGAAATCTTTGACAACTATAAACTTTTCTCCATTTATTATGATGTTACATATGGTCCAGTGATAAGGAGTTTGGTTTCTTTACATTGAGTGTCCAGGCTGGTATTTCGAATCAACACATCAGATGGTGTACTAAGCTGAGAATCAAACAATCATGACGCATGGCACTGCATTCATCTCCAAAAAGGACATTTCAAGATCTATCTTGAAGGACACTACTACCTGTGAGAGGGCTATATCTATCCACTCTCAAGGAAATGCAACCAATAAAACTATTATTCAAATTTATGCACCAACTACTTATGCTAGTGGTGAAGAAATTGAAGAATTCTACCAAACTTTTCAGTCAGAAATTGATCAAATAATCAATCAAAATGCATTGATAACTATTTGTCATTGGAATGCAGAAGTTGGGAACAAAGAGGAAGAAACAGTAGTTTGAAAATAGGACTCAGTGATAGAAATGTACCCAGAGAGGAATCCAGGATGGATGAGCCCTATAGGACCAGTGGTGTGAGTGGCAAAACAGGGAGGGTAAAGGGAG